TGCATGTTCATATGTGTGTGACACACACACACACACACACACACACAGCAATGAGGGGGAGAAGGAGCTGAACAGCAGCAAGTAGGCTAACCTTCAGCTGTTGGATGGAAGATTCCACACCTGAAGAAATGATTCTAAGCTGAGCAGGGCTAGACTCTGCATCAGTTAGTTCTCTTCCGGGTTTTGATTGTGGTTTAATTCCTTGAGAGGCTGAAAACTGCCCAACTGGAATCATGTTGTAATCAGTCTCTCCACCTGCTGATATGACATTCCAGACCAGTAAGAGTAAAGAGCAACGTTCCCAAGACCAGCTGTCAAGACGGAGCCTGGCGTCCTTGGGGAGGCTTCTGGAGAAGTCCGAGCAAAAAGCAGGGTGCATGCACAGCACTGCCCCAGTGACCTCATGGCTGGTTCCGAGGTGGCCTCACCGCTTTCCCCATCGTGAGGGACACAGGAAGCTGGCGGTGGGGGCCACCACCATGCAAGGGACCTGCCAGAGGGTAGGAGTATGGGGTCCCCTGGCCTAGAGTGGGCTTGTCCTGCTGGGCCTGGACCAAGCACAGTCTCAGCTTTTGGTGCCAGCAGCTGCAGCCAGGCCTAATTCAGTTTTTCTGGAATTCAGTTGTTCTTACCCAAGTTCAGCCAACAGGTCTTGAGGGCCTGCTATGTTCCCGGTGCTGAGAGCGCAGCGGGGGTCGGAGGAGCGCCGGCCCCACCAGGAACAGGAGATCCTGGCAGTGTAGCCCAACAGGAAGCAAAGCACAGGAAGGCAGAGACGAGAAACAGCATCTTAGCCCAAGTTCTAGGTCAGTCGGACCAGGCCAGGTGAAGTAACCTAGCACTTGTAAAGCCCAAAACACTAAAGCAGTAGAGAATTATCTTACAAAGATGGCAAGATATGGACAGCTGAATAATAAGGCATCAGAACAAGGCTTAATAAAAATCTTTTAAAAAGTAAGCCAACAAATAGAAAAGACAACAGTGAAATTCAATGGAAGAAAAGTAACGGACTCTGATGAAGATGACGATTATTGAATGAACTAAAAGTGTTCGTAGACTAAGAATTTAATGGAGCAATTCTAGGACAGAAGTTAAGATCTGATTAAATATTTACTTTGTTTATTGTCTATATACCTTTCAAAAAGAAAACTTGTTATGGCAAAGTGAAAAAAAAAAAGGCAAGGAGCCTGAAGTTTTATAGAGAATGCTACAGTTCTCCAGCCTAACTTCTATAACCCAAGTTAGCAGTAGAGCTCTAACTGTAAGAAGGGCATTGGTCTCTGTTGCTGCTATAACAAATCACTATGAGCATTTGGCTTTAAACAACACAAATTTATTATCTGACAGTTCTGGAGGTCAAAAGTTTGAATGGGTGTCTCCTTGTGGAGACCCTAGGGGAGATTATGTGTCCTTGTCTTTCCAGCTTCTACCAGCCATGTGCATTCCCTAGTTTCTCACCCACTCCTCCATCTTCAAAGCCGGCAGTGAAGCATCTTCAAATCTCCCTCCAAACTGACCTCTGCTTCCTTCAACCCATCTCCCTTTCTGAGTCTGACTCTCTGGCCTGTCTCTTTTCCTTCTAGGGACATTTGTATTTACATGGGACCTAACCATATAATACAAGATAATCTCTTTATCTCAAGATCCTTAACCTAATAATACTTGCAAAGCCCCTTTGCATGTAAGGTAACATAGTCACAGATTAGGATGAGGACATCTGTAGGGGTGAGGGAATATTATTCTACCGTAAGAAGCTTCCTGCTCTATCCATTAGAATGACTTTCTCTTTGGTTAAATAACTTTATCCTATTTGCCTTTGAAAACTTGACCTTCTGAACTAATTGACGTTTTGTGTGAGAAATTCTCGAGGGGAGAAGAAAAGGCACACACACAATACCTTTAAGGGTAAGGAAGCTTTATCCCACAAAAATGGCAATCCAGATATAATAAGCAAATTGATGTAATAACCAATGATATAAGCAAATTAATATAATAAGCAGATTGATATAAGCAAATTGCAATGGGAAGGGGAGAAGGGAAAAGAGATTTGCCTTCACCAGACAGTAGAGGATTCACCACCAGACTATGAAGCTAGAGTCTGAGTTCCAGAGTTGGACACTGCACTCACCAAACTGTGGAGGATTCACCAGCAGAGCGGAAAGCAACAGCCTGTGCTCCATAGTTGGCCACTCATCTGTGCACAGACAAGGAGAGGTCTCGTGAAGCTTCGGTGTGGACTGGGACCCTAGCTCTTTTTGTAACGAGTTGTTTGGCATGAGGCACAGTCACAAGGGCCCTTTGCGACTGGGCTCAAGGAACACAGAAAGGTTAACTTGTTTTTGTGATTGTCTGCTGTTTTTCAATAACTAACATACAGGAATAAATTGAAATTGAGATTTCTCCCAAACAGTGCTGGATGAATGCCTCAGGGGGCTCACACAACCTGTTCCGGAACTTGGTGACTGTTGTTTGTGTCCATGTTTAATTGAGTTCAAATGTAGTATTTAACTTTTCTTCCACAGTTGATTAGAACAGTGGCACCAGAGGCTAGGCACAGTGGCTCATGCCTATAATCCCAGCACTTTGGGAGGCCAAGGCAGGTGAATCACCTGAGACCAGGAGTTCGAGGCCAGTCTGGTCAACATGGTGAAACCCTGTCTCTACTAAAAATACAAAAAAACTAGCCAGGCGTGGTGGCAGGCACCTGTGTTCTCAGCTACTCAGGAGGCTAAGTCATGAGAATCACTTGAACCCAGTAGGCAAAAATTACAGTAGTGAGCCGAGATCATGCCACTGCACTCCAGCCTGAGTGATAGAGTAAGAATGAGATTCTATCTCAAAAAAAAAAAGAACAATGGCACCAGAGACCTTCCCTTTTCTTGCCTTCCCTATTTCCCTCTGTATATTATTAAATTTGCTGTGGCCTGAAATTTAAACCATTGTATTTGCTTAACTCAGCCACCTAAAGTTTTTATTTTTCTTTCAGTCACCTAAAAATAATAAGATTTAGAGCTTTTAAAAAGAAGTTCTTGGTCGAGTGCGGTGGCTCACGCATGTAATCCCGGCACTTTGTGAGGCTGAGAAAGGAGGATCGCGAGGTCAGGAGTTCCAGACCAGTCTGGCCAACATGGTGAAACCGCATCTCTGCTAAAAATACAAAAATTACCCCGGCATGGTGGTGCATGCCTGTAGATCCCACTACTGGAGAGGCTGAGGCAGGAGAATTGCTTGAACCCAGGAGATGGAGGTTGCAATGAGCAGAGACTGTGCCATTGCACTCCAGCCTGGGCAACAGAGCGAGACTCCATCTCAAAAAAAAAAAGAATCTTTATATGAAGCTCTGAGATCAAATGTGGAGTGAACAAATTGTTCTCTCTGTTCCATCATAGGGTTTTTTCTACATTTTGGATATGTGAGAGTTTTGAACTTCTGCTGCATAAAACATCATAGCAATCACACACCCTACAGCTTATGAAATAATTAATATGGTAATTCATGTAATCTTCATATATTAAATTATCAGAAAGACTATATTAATCTTAGTATAGCATGTCATTGATGTTTACATCATTCGTCAACAAATTCAGTGTTCAAGAAGGAGTGAGTGTGCACGCACATGAGGCTGTGTGCAGCTGTAAGATTCTGTCTCAAATCCTAGCAAGAAAGACTAATATGAACTTCAGCTCTTGGCCTTGAGGAAGTTACATCACCTTCAGAATCTCCCTTGGCTCCCCAGTAAAGAGAGTAATTATACAGCTCTCCTGAAGATAGGATGTTTACTATCTGACTTTCGTTCACAAAAAGGCATATAAATACCGGCATTGCTATAAATTAAAATTTCACCTTACATGATTCATCTATGCCTTTATAAATCTCCTCTCTGTTTTCATTTAGATTTGATATGCCTCATTATTTCTCATTTAGAACCAGCCATTTGAATGAATTTTATATTCATTTGAATGAATATAAAATGGTTTGCTTTCAACCATTTTATATTCATTCAAATATTAGCTTTCTTTTAGTTCTTAAAAGAATTTGTTTTTGCTTCATTTTATCATATAAGCATCCCATTATGCTTAATTTTATAATATATAGAAGTTAAAATGTTTTATTTAGAAATGTAAAATTTTATAATATGCTTAACCTTATAGAGAAGTTAAAATAGTCTATTTAGAAATGCAAATTTTCATGAGGTGTATGAGGAGACATGCAACAACCATCAATTCCAGTAACTGTCGTGGTCAGGGTACTGGCAGGAAGCCAATGACACCCTCAAAGTGGCCATGGAAAGGAGTTCAATGAAGGGACTCTCTACGAAGATGTGGGAAGAGTTAAGAGAAAGCAATAAGAAATAATAAAGCACTCTGGAGCCACCTATGCCTCAAAGAGCAACAGGAGGGAGTGGTGGCCAGACCCTGACAAGAGCTGTGGCTGCTGTGGGAGAAGGCCCAGGAAATGGGAGCACCCAATGCCAGACCTGCAGCCATTCAGGGGGAAGGGAGAAGGGAAGCAAGGGAAATAAATATCCCAGCCCTCCTCCACTATCTGTTCTCTTGCCTTGCTTCCTTTATTGAGACTTCGCTACAAGCCAGTGGGGAAGGAAGCCGGTTGATGCAGTCCATAGAGGGCCATTCCCTAGCACACAGCAGAGTGGGGAAGAGTGGAGAGTGATCTGGAAGAGCAAACAAAAGATAACTAGCACAGTAGTCTTTCAGAAAAAGTATCGCAAATTAATGTTGGCCTTTGGGGTTTGGTACATGCATACCTGCACCCTCATACTTACACCTTGACCCCTTTGGTTCTAAGCATCTTTCTTCTCAACTCTGTCATTGGGAGTCTTAAAGTTGAGCTGGTCACTATGGCTGATACCCAGATCAGCTCACTGCTCTGTGGATAGTGAGACTTGACTAGTAAGTCCATGGCACAGGCACCCCGGGTGACTTTCCCAGGAGGCTGCCTGGGAGGAGCTCTCCCTCACTCTCCCTGTCTTCTTCTTCCAGGGTGGAGCTTCAGCATGGGATCAGCCTACCAGTTTCACAGTTGGCGTGTGTTTGTCATCGTCTGTGCACTCCCCTGTGTCTCCTCCGTGGTGGCCCTCACGTTCATGCCTGAAAGCCCACGATTCTTGCTGGAGGTAACACTTATTATTGCAGTAACTCAAGTAGCCCACATCTACTGGAAAAAGTTCCTTGTTAATTCTAGGAAAGCACATTTGCCTCTTTAGGAGGTACATTTTCCCTTCCTACTATGGTATGAAGGAGGGTTTGGTTTCATGGAGACATGCTTTCAACAACCAGCATGTAAAAAAGCTGCCTCATAGCCAAGAAGCACTCACGTTCCTCCTTAAGCAAATAACTTGGCTCAGTGAAGAAAACATGATTTACTGTTTCATAATGAAATTTTACCAGCCAGAGATACTATTGCTAATTATACCCACATTATTTGAACTGCTCATGTATTCAGTGATATCCAAATAGTCTGTATGTTCCAATGGGATGTACTAGATACATTTGCACAATACTTCATCTGATCTGACAGTGCAAGATGGCTATTGGAAAATCAGGGAGGGTAAGTGTGTCACTCCTAGAGCTTCACTGTCCACTCTCATTTCTTAGGTTGGAAAACATGATGAAGCTTGGATGATTCTGAAGTTAATTCATGACACCAACATGAGAGCCCGAGGTCAGCCTGAGAAGGTCTTCACGGTGAGTCTGCTCCTCAGAGAATCCTCAACACCAGGGATTGGGACATGTTTTCTGTCAAGGACAAAATTGTAAATATTTTAGACTTTGCAAGTCATATAGTCTTTGACACAGCTACTCAACTCTGCCATTGTAGTGCAAAAGCAGCCATAGGCAATGTTAAAACAAATGGGATGACTGTGTGTCAATAAAACTTTATTTACAGAGATAGGCAGAGGGCTGTTTTTGGCCCATAGGTTGCCAACCCTGCTTATGCCTATCTAGGAACTTGAGGGCTCTGTGGTTGGTTAGATGATAACACCAACCCAAGAGATGGGGTTAAGGTTGAAAGACTGCATTTTCATCACAGACTTATTCTCTGACTTCCAGGCTCAGTACCTGAGGACAAGAGATCCTTGGTGTAGGGACTGCCAGCAGATTCTCCTTGACTGCTACAAGAGGAGAGCCAGCCTCTGTGGGTCCCTTTTCTCCACTCGGCCTTTTCTTTTTTTTTTTTTTTGAGATGGAGACTTGCTCTGTTGCCAGTCTGGAGTGCAGTGGCACAATCTCTGCTTACTGCAATCTCCACCTCCCAGGTTTAAGGGATTCTCCTTCCTCAGCTTCCCGAATAGCTGGGATTACAGGCACATGCCACCACGTCCAGCTAATTTTTGTATTTTTAGTAGAGATAGGGTTTCACCATGTTGACTAGGCTAGTCTCAAACTCCTAACCTCAGGTGATCCACCTGCCTTGGCCTCCCAAAGTGCTGGGATTACAGGTGTGAGCCACCTTGCCCAGCCAGGTCACACCTTTTCAAGTGACATTCAGTCCCCACAAAGCAGCCCCATAACCTTTTCTCTAAGATATCAGAGAGACGTCTTAGAGATGTACCCCACTGTTAAGGCCACCTTGAGGCCTTTAACCTTGAAATACATAGTAAATTGTAAAATTATTTATTAAAAGCAAAAAAAATCCAGGATCTAGTAAGTGAGAAAACAGTTACACTAAGGGTCAAAGCAGTATAACTGAACAGAAAACTAACCTCTGGCTTTCCTGATGTATTAGTCCATTTTCACCCTGCTAATAAAGACACACCCGGGTCATTTATAAAGGAAAAAGGTTTAATTGACTCACAGTTCAGCATGGCTGGGGAGGCCTCAGGAAACTTCTGATCATGGCAGAAGGGGAAGCAAATATATCCTTCTTCAAACGGCGGCAACAAGGAGAAATGCTGAGCAAAAGGGAGAAGAACCCCTTGTAAAACCATCAGATCTTGTCAGAACTCACTATCACGAGAACAGCAGCATGGGGTTAACTGTCCCCATGATTCAGTTACCTCCCACTGAGTCCCTCCCACCACACCTGGGAATTATGGGAACTACAATTCAAGCTGAGAACTGGGTGGGGACACAGTCAAACCATATCATCTGACAACCAAAGCAAAGGATAAATTGAATGAATTACATCATTTTGTATATAAAGTAAATGGCATTGTATTTGCTTTTCAGGAAAGGTCAATTTTATCTTGTTCTAATTTGTAAAACGTTTATTCGTAGACCTTATTATAAGGGATATTGAACAATATAATGGACATTATTTCCAATAACACTTTTACATAAAGGCAGACATTTCACACATGGCCATTTCTTAGGTTAATGATTAATCAGAATTTAGTAAAGGAAGATAGCTATGTAGGAAGCCAGAGAAAGGTAATCCAAGAATGTGGCTTCAGCTTGATATGGCTCAACATGAACATAAAGGTATGAAAGAATCAGAGATATAGTTCCAAAACTATATATGTCATTTTATTATACATGCATGCACATGGGCACACACATACATAAAACATGCCCCAGTTTCACATTCTAGAAGCTTCCCATTGCTCTCAGGATAAAGACAAAAACTCTCCCTCTGAACACTAAGGCCCTCCCAGTCTCTTCCCTGCTTTCTAGTTCCTCTCTCTGCAGCTACACTCATCCCTCAGCTCCTCATACTCGCCATTTGACTTACTATGCAGCACTGCCACGCTGCTGCTGTTCCCTCTGCGTGGAACATTCCTCTATCTCTATTTACAAAGCTGATTCTCCAAGGGGAAAGCCAGTCTACATTAATTTAAATGGGTTGCATGAAATGTTTTGGAAGGAACAATGGTTTAAAATCTTTCAATATATGCAATCATATAATGTTGGAAATGGATGCTCAGTGCCACAAAGAATAGTCAGCACTGAGATAAAGGATCTTTCAGCAATGGAATTTTTACTTCCTGGACTGCAGAAAGGATATTCTCACTAGCCATCTTGCCACAAGAGTGCAATGAATAAAGGAAAACAGACAAATTTATTCCTTACGCATTTGGAGTTGTCCTTGCTGCTGTGTCTGATCTCCATTGGCTGGAGCCAGACCCCATAATCTAAACTAAAACCCGACTGGCTAACAACTTAAAACGTTTCAAAACAGGTAAAAGCAACGGAGAGCTGGGGCATGCCTGTGAGCACGTCCAGCACAGATATCTTGGTTAAAGTACAGGGACATAGAATGTACTACGTGCCTGTAAGCATAGCGTGTCTAACAGCTACCTAGGATAGGGCTTAACAAAGTTATTAGCACACTTATTCTTAAACAAGAAAGGAAACTTTAAAAAGGAACTTTTCTACTTCCCACATATAATTAGACTAAAAATGTTTTGTCTACAATCAGTTGGAGGGACATACAGTAAGATGTAAGTGGGAACCTAAATAAAATCTTCAGTGGCTTATACATAGTATCAATTACAGTTCTTAAAACACATGAAGTCATTTCTGATTAAATAGTCCCCTGTTATCTTATTTATTAATTTCATTTTATTTAGGAAATGAATTTTTCATAATGTAAAGATAGACTGCAATTTGGCCTCTACCCAAATTATCACAGATTTTTAATTAGCAGAATTTTCTCTGCAGTGTAATGGAGAAATGAAGATAAATAATAGATATCCTCAATTAAGGCCTGGAAGCCTTTGCTCTCTTCTTTTGAATGGATGTACAATAGAAGGAAAAAAAATTTAACTTAAAAGATCATAAGGCTGGAAGAATCTTGAGACATTATCTGGATATACAGTATCACTTAATTCTTCTTCTCAGCCAGATGAAGGTAACCCTCTGTTTACCAAAGACCTTCTGAGAAGGTGTCTCTGTAGGGCCTCATTGCCCTATTTACCTGCCTTTTCTTCCAAAAGGGTTGAGTTACCAAGTCCACTAACGGTGATCTGTGTTCATTTTGTTATATGAAGGTTAGAAGAGAATAAGATGGGTACGCGCCAAAAGTGACTGATAATTTCCAAGTCATTTATATGTGACTTTCAAAGTCATTACGTGATTCTGCCATGACAAACTTATCTTTTTATTTTTTAAATCGATAGTACAGCAAAGTTGCATGCATTTTCCTAAGGTGTCCTTTTTTTTTTTTTTTTGCGACAGGGTCTCATTCTGTTGTCCAGGCTGGAGTGCAATGGTGCAATCACAGCCCACTGCAGCTTCAGCCTCCCTGGCTCAGGTGATCCTCCTGCCTCAGCCTCCCTAGTAGCTGAGAATACAGGCATTAGCCACCATACCTGGCTAATTATTTGTAGATAATTAACAATGAGGGTCTGCCCTATGTTGTCCAAGCTGATCTCAAACTCCTAGGCTTAAGTGATCCTTCAGCCTCAGCCTCCCAAAGGACTGAAATTACAGGTGGGAGTCACCATGCCTGGCCTTCCTAAGGTCTCCTCTGAAGCTCTTCTTAGTGTGCCCTTGCCTTAAATATTGTTTTCCAATACTTCATTTTCAGCTAACTTCCATTTTAACTGTATACACTTAACTGATCTCAGCTATTTCCTGCATGTCTCCTAATGCACAAATCTCCTGAGATCCAGGCCTATAGGTTGAAGGGCTTGTGGACATCCTTCTAGATTGCATAGGCCCTTCAAAAATGGCATCTTTGGGCAGCAAGGTGTGGGGGAAAATGGCATCTTTAAATCTGAATTTATCACCTAACAAGTCCTCAAGCCTCATCATTGCCCTAAATTTCATCAGCAGGTACCACCAACACCACCTAAACCGGAAAACTATCCTATTTCTTTCTTTTATCTTCAGTATAAGAAACCACTATGTTGTATTATTCTACCTCCTAAATATCACTACGCCACTGCTGATTTGGTGCAGTCCTCCTTATTCACTGCCCTCTGACCTCCTACTATCCTTCAGGAATCTCAAACTCTGAAGTTGCCCAGCACACTATTTTCCCTCCTACCTCTGGACGTTTGTTTGCACATGGTATTTCTCTTACTTGGAATGTCCTCCAAGCAGGTTACATGCATGGCAGATAGCATATTTCTCTATAAGCCTGCAGTTCCTGAAGGCTTCTCTCTCACTTCCAGGTTAAATAGGTTGTTCTGAACAGTATTTCCCTCCCATCTTATATAGATCCCCATTAGAATAGCTTTTTGTTTTGTATGGTAACTATTTGGAGCCCCATGACGGCCTATGCATCCTGCATGGGTGTCAATGAATAAATTAACAAACAAACATCAATGAGTGAAAAAGAGGAAGCCTCCCAAAAGCAGTATGTTGGATTAAGACTATCTCATGTTGTAAAATAAATGAATAATAATTCCTACATGGATTATCTTGAGCTGACTGCATTTGATTTGGAATTCCATACTTAACTCAGAGATTGTTTCTGCTAAGTACAGACTTCTTTGTTTACCTAGCCAGAAAGAAGCTACTGCCTACTTGGTATAATTTGAAAGATGCTGGATGGTCTCCAAGTCACCTCTGTCCAAAACTGGCCTAGGTACCTACCTGTATTCTGCCAGTAGAGTTGCCACTTTAGATGCTGGCAGGATGTCCAGAAAAACCTGTTCAAATCTCTGGCAAGGGTAATGTGTTTACATTTCCGTGTTCTCTCAGATTTATCAAAAATGGGTAAATCTCAATTAGCAGGAGAAGGCAGGCCAGGTCCACAAAGGACCCATTCTTCCTTTTTTTCTGTTTTCAGGATTCGTTCTCTGTGCTCCTCCTCTTGTGTGGTTCTCTTCCTTAGCAAAAAAGAGGCTAACATGAGTATGAGTCTTAGATGCCGCTTTTCGTGCTGAACCTCTATCATTTATTTCCCTTACATGGCTGAGAAATTCACGTTGATGCTTGCAATCAAAACTCCTTCACTTACTCTTGAATCATGACTACCTGTGGGTATCTGCCGACTAGCCACTATGCATTAGGCTGTGGGAGAAGGAAGAAAAGGACTGGAAGTGGTGCTCTGAGAATAGAAGTTTGATGGGACTCTTTCAGAACTACAGTTAGGGATCAAATTCATCAAATAAGCACGTTTCAGAGAAAAATGTGTACACGCATTTTAGTCCAAGCTAAATAATTCTTAATCCAAAATCTAACTTACCTTGATGTTTTGTCTGCTAATATGTGTCTTTGTAGTAATGATTCAGGGAGGGCATTTTGATTGCATATTATTCTATTACTACTTGCCGTCCCCCCCATTGCTCTGTGGTTTTCCCGCTCACTCATTCCTTCTTCAGTTCTTCTAGGTACTGTTTGGATCTGTGATTTATTCCAATGGTCTCATGTATGTGTGAAGTGATTACCAAATACCACCTACTCCTTACTGGAGTCCGTTTTTGCTCCTATAAAAATAAATTGTGAGCCTCAGCACTTTGCTCTGTTTTTCTCTACAGGTAAACAAAATTAAAACTCCGAAACAAATAGATGAGCTGATTGAAATTGAAAGTGACACAGGAACATGGTATAGGAGGTGTTTTGTTCGGATCCGTACCGAGCTGTATGGAGTAAGTAACAAGTCCCATGATGACCTGTGTGTTGAATATGGCATTTGAGGTTAGTCAGAAGAGGGGTTTACTGAATCTGTCCTGTGAGTAAGGTTCTTTCCTGTTGGTAATTGGATCCCTCTCGAACAGCATTTAGCCAATACATTCCATCTGTGGGAAGTGTTAGGCCAGGAGTCCTGGCAGCGGCCGAGTGCCTTCAAGTCTTGAGTTACTTTGCCCATTGGCCTCTAGGAAGCTGAAGAATGAAAATTCCAGTTGCCTTTAGCTTTTACATTTTAAGGTGAAATGAATTCAACTCAGTGACAACTCAGCTTTTTTTATAATTTGGTGGAAGGGGTTGGGGAGTGGGGTTGACTAAGTAACTGCATGAGAAAACTAACTCTTTAATATTTCACAGATTTGGTTGACATTTATGAGATGTTTCAACTACCCAGTCAGGGATAATACAACAAAGCTTACAATTGTTTGGTTCACACTGTCTTTTGGGTAAGTGATATTTAAATTCTTGGCAAGCAAAATCATTCAATGTCTACATTGTAACTCCCAGCCATGCTGCTTTCTTTTCTTATACTGCTGGATGCTGTTAACCTGCTGAAAAAGAAAAATTTTCAGCTTAGATTTGCTGAGAGTTATGGTTTTCATAAATCAATTATTTTATTTGTTTTGTCATAAAGCCAAGGTAGCAAAGCCAATTAATTGTATTTGCAAAATCCAGGAAGAGCCTGGATAATTTGCCCATGACTTCTCCTCTGTCCTCTCCTCCTTTACCCAGCCCCAGCCATACCAGCCTCTCTGCTCTTCCTTGAACATTCTAGAACAGTTAGTTCCCATCTCAGGCCTTCGCAGTGGTCCTCTGTCTGAGTTGCTTTCCTCTCCAGACATCTGTCCGGTTCATTCATTTCTTTCCCCTCTTCAAGTCTTCCCTCAGATATCACCTTCTCGGTGATGTCATTCTCTCTTTTAAAAAATTGCAGCCCTTCTACACTCCATATCCCCTTCTCAGCTCTACTTTACCCCACAGCACTTTCTGCCTTCTAATATGTAAAACACTCATTTATTCTGAATAAAGAATAAAGCTCTGGCTTCCCTCTCTGGAAGCTCCATGAGGTCAGAGGTTTTTAACTGCCTTGTTCAAAGCTGAGTGTGGTGCCATCCACCTATATTCCACGCTACTCTGGAAGCTGAGGTGGAGGATTGCTTGACTCCAGGAGTTGGAGGCTGCAGTGTTCTATAATCACACCTGTGAATAGCCACTGCCCTCGAGCCTGGACAACATATCAAGACCCCATCTCCAGAAAAATAGTTTTCTTATGTCTTGTTCACTGATGTATATTCCTGGGACATAATAGCAGCTCAATAAATAGTTGTTGCCAAAATGAATAAAACTGCCAATATGTGTTCTAGGAAAAGAGGAATTATGGAGAAAATATCAAGGTTTTATTTGCTAATCACTGACATAGTCACTTTAGAATGCGTGTATACAACTCTATTGTTGCCTAATTTGCTGTTTAGAAAAGAAACGTTAGATAATACCCTACACTTTCAGGTCAGCAGGATCTCAGCTCCTTATAGAGCCCAGCATTTATGTTGCAAGTTTCATCTCTTAACATACCTAAATCAAACCAGGCAAAGATGACCGCTCTTTCTCAGTGGCAGAGGAGGTGGAATATGGAGAAAGAAGGAAGCTGGGGGTCAGGAGACCTAGCAGCCCATTCTGCTGGGTGACTTGGTTAGCTTGTGACTTGAGGACATTACTTCATCTCAGTTCCTCATTTCTAAAGAAAGAGGGTTGACTTAAAATATGTAAAGTCATTCCCACCCAAGTTCTAGAAAATCTATTAATCTCTGAAGGAAAGGAAGACTGAAAATTAACCTATATTAAGTGCTCACTCTATACCTAAGCACAGTGTTAGGGACAGAGAAGACAAAGATAAGCAAGAAGGAAGTCCTGCTGTCAAGGTGTAAAGAGGAATAATCATTATCTGGTTTATTTTGTTTACTAATTCGTTATTTACGAGTTTTTAAGCTTGATGATTTATTTCACTCCTATGTCCCTGGAACCTCAGTAGTGCCTTGTATTTAGTGCATGTTCAGTAAATGTTTGCTAAATAAATGAAAACTTAGCCAAAGTCCTCCACATCATTGTGGATGGACATTTCAGGGTAATATGCCCCCCTCATTATTGCCATTTTAAGGTCTGTGCCCCATGTGTATGACTAGAGAACAATGCCATAGACGTTGTACCCCTAAGTCATTTCTTCCTTAGTAACCACGCTCTCACCCCCATAGTCATTAATTCATGATCTATGAAGAAAAGGGGTGGGAATCCTGAGGCACAGATGTTTCTGGAATCCTAATTACAAGATGATAACAACTTGGCTGGGCGCAATGGCTCATGCCTATAATCTCAGCACTTTGGGAGGCCGAGGTGAGCAGATCACCTGAGGTCAGGAGTTCAAGACCAGCCTGACCAACATGGAGAAATTAGCCATCGCTACTGATGGAAAAATTAGCCGGGCATGGTGACGCATGCCTGTAGTGAACCTCCAACTCAAAAATTAAAAAAGATCATACTGTCTTCTGAGCACTTTCTATGTGCTAAGTACATAACATCCCATTTAAACTGAGCAACCATCCAGGAAGGTAGATGCTCCCATCATTCTGATAGTAGAGATGGGCAACTGAGGCTTAATTAAGTGGCCCAAGTTTATGCAGTTACTAAGACCAGGATTCAGACCCAGCCTATCCTCCTGCAAAGGCTATGCCTATACCCACTTGTTTTCCTGTGTAGCTAAGAATCACTGGGGATAGATCAGAGCAGTGTTTCTCAAACTTGAAAGTGCATCAGAAGAATCCCTGGAGGACCCCACTGCCAGACTTTAATTCATCAGGTCTCACTGGAACCTGGGTTTGTGGGGGATGATGATCCTGCTGGTCCAGAAACCTTACCTTGGGAGGTACTACTTTAGAACAGCACTGTCCAATAGAGATAGCATATGAACCACAGATGTCGTTTCAGAATTTCTAGTAGCCATACACACACACACACACACACACACATACACACAAAGTAAAAGGAAACAGATGAAATTAATTTTAATGCATTTTGTTTAATGCATTCTTGCTAAAATATAGCATCATTTCAGCATATAAGCAGCATAAAAATTATTAGCAACTAATTTTACATTTTTTTTTGTAAGTCTTCAAAATCCTGTGCTATTTTATATTTATAGTATATCTCAGTTTGAACTAGCCACATCTCAACTGCACATTGTAGGCACATGTGGTTCGTAGCTTCTGTACTGAACATCACAGCAGCATGCCACAGCTGTTAGAATAGCACATTAGCAGTCAAGAGGCAGAAAGGGGAAATAACTTGGAATTTCTGAGAATAACATGAATGTCCTTTTCATAGCCTTGAAGTACCTTGGGAACTGGTGCTCCACCCCCAGGTTAGCAGTATCACAGTAGTGTAACCAAGAAAGATTTTCATTAGCAAAAGAAGTCATCCTTTAAGGGCTCTCACCATGCTTGGATTCAGGAGTTTACACCACCAGACTAGGAGAGAGAGTTTCTCAGAGCAGCCTAGAATGATGAGAAAGGTATTGGGGCCAGGATGCCAGGTGTCTTACTCCATTTCTGCCACTATAGCAAACTACCACACTGGGTAATTTGTAAACAATAGAAATTTATTTTTCACAGTCCTGAAGGCTGGAAGTTCAAGATCAAGCTGCTGGCAGATTCATTGTGCAGTAATGGCACAGTCTCTGCTCCCAAGATGGCAGCTTGTCGCTGAGTCCTCCAGAGGGGACAAATACTGTGTCCTCATGTGGTAGAAGGGATGGAAGGGAAAAAGTGAGAGATGCAGCACCCTCACACCTCTTTTTATAAGGACATTAACCTCACTTATTGAGGTTTCTGCCCTCATAACTTAATCACCTCGTAAAGCCCCCACCTCTAATACTATTATATTGGGGTTTAAGTTCCAACACATGAGTTTTGGGAGGACATGTTCAAACCAGGCACCATGTATGGGCATAGGATGGGATGCTTTCTGCATGTCTCTTTCCAAAGGAAAAGTTTAATAATTACATACCTGGGGTTCTTCAGCTGGATTCTCCAGCTAACTCTAGGCTGTCTCTCAAGCTTGATTTTTGCAGATTAACGGAGAGGGAGAGGAACACATGAATTGCTGTATGGTAATTTACTCATAATGTTATAGGGACTCAGCCAACTATTACCACTCTGAAAACATCAGGGAGGTGCTCCTTGCCTCTGGCATGCTAGCGCCTTTACAAACTCACATTTCTTTGTCTTTGCAGGTACTATGGATTATCTGTTTGGTTCCCTGATGTCATTAAACATCTGCAATCCGATGAATATGCATTGCTAACCAGAAATGTGCAGAAAGATAAATATGCAAATTTCAGTATTAACTTTACAATGGAAAATCAGATTCATACTGGAATGGAATACGACAATGGAAGGTCTAGAAACTTGAAATAATTTAATTTGCTACCTATTCACAAAAACTGATTTCTTCTTAGCCTTCCCTGCATGGAAACATGCATAGTTTTTGTTTGTTTTAGTTTGTACATTTAGTCATTTTTATGGTGAATTTCAATACTTCCAAACGGTCTTTAAATAAAAGGTACAAGTGAATTTGTTACTTAAAACTGTTTTTGCAGCTGAGTTGCTTCATATTTATTAAGTAGTGGTGTGGAAAGAAAATTTAGAGCAATGTTGGAAAGCAGCAAAAATAATTTAAGGAAGAGAAGAGTAAATAGTATGGGAAAATAAGACAGGCTACAGGATTATTTAATTCACAGAAGAAATCTGAAATGTGATTATATGAGTCTTCTATTCCGGAGAAACAGAACCACTTTTCAGAATTCACCCTTCCCCACTATGTTGAATCCAGAATTGGGGTTAAATTGTATCAGGAAGAGTTTCACTGGAGAACAGGAGTCATTTCCCAAAGTAAAGGACTTTGAAAATAAAAGGGTGTCCTTTATGGGATCTGAAATACTTCTTGGTGACAAGAGAGAACTGACTCAGGGAGGTGGTTCTGGGTCATTCTTTTAGAATGGGAAAAGAATAGACCAAGTATTTATTTACATCCAAGCATTTTTGTTGCCTGAACAAATAACTGCCTGTATAAGTTCATGATGGTTTACATCATTCTTAGGAAATTGGCCCAATTTCAAAAGTGATAAAAGTAAAACTCTAAAATAATCAAAGTTGCCCAGGGCAAAAACCAGTTTAGAAAGATGAAAAAGGATTAAGTGAGATTCTTATGATCTGTGTAATGGAAAAGAGGGTTACTAACTAGGAGGTAATTGTTCGAATTAGCAATTCAGTGAAGGAACTAATCATAATCCATGCCAAGTAGGATCACCTTCAGTCTCCCACGTAAAATACTGACTTGAATCTGCACTTACATTTCACAGAAAGCTTAGTATCAAGTGCTCTGTGATGCCAGGGTGAAAATTGACTTTGAAAAGTATTGTTACTCCATTAGAAATTTCCAATATGTTTTTGTGTCTCTGACAGTCATATTTTTAGTAATATTTGTTAGAGTTCTAAACTGGATATTCAGTCACTGCTTAGAACTTTTTTACATTAGCAATATAATGATTACTAAGTTTAATAGTATTAAAATTTTTGTGAACCATATATGGTACACATTTATTTTAAAAGACGATAGAAACAATTTTTTTGTCCTTCAGGAAAATTTGAAATACCATTAACAGACTCATTTTTAAAAAATACTTTTCCTGTTCCCCATCAGAAAAATGGCAACTGTTTATGCACTGACATGGAATAACCTCCAAGGTAGACCAGAAGGAGATAAAGCAGGTCTACTTTATGCACAGAATGCTCCTGGAAGAGCATACAAGAAACTGACAGCAGTGGTTGTTCTGGGCAGAGGAACTTGTGGCCTGGGGATTGATGGGAAAAGACTCACTTTTTCCATCTTCAGCCTTTCAAATTGTGCACCATGAGTACTCTGTGTATATATTATCCATTCAAAAAATAAAACTGATTCCCTTTTCCAAATTCAGTTCCATAACAGAAAAACTGATAACTTTTTAAAGATGTGTCATTATTTAGCCTCTTTTGGTGCATTTGGATGTTTTTACTCTGGGTCCCTGGGGCAGGGATTGGAACAAGATTGTTATTATTATTTCCAGGTAATATACCATGAGAATGATTTTTTTAAAGCTGATTGGTCTGTGAGGCCACAGTGCATTTTGAACAAACACATGTAATTGGGTATCAGGGAGAAAATAAATTTGGAAGTACTCAATAGTTAGTAAATTACTTTTAAATCAGCCCACTTACCTAAAAGGATAAATCCCCTTCTGCCCTAATAAGAGTGGTATTGACATAATAACTCCTTCCCCAGGAGAACAAGCATTTTCCTCTCAGTGACTGGCTAAGTGTACATTCATGGTCTCTTAATAAAATACCAAGATGCATTAATGAATATTTAACCGTGTCTGCTGGGAGTCCTCATCAGTGCTGATAAGGTCTGAATCATGGATTCTTCTAAGATGTTATGATTATTATGACTATTATCATCTCTACCACGTAGAATTCCCCTTATATCACCCAAAAATGTACCTGAACAGGTGTCATGTTTCTACAAATAAGCAGAGCTCTCATAATTCTATTTGGTTTGAGGACTATCTATTGGCTGTAAGAAGAAAAATTATCCTGGAAATGAGTATCACCTGTGAGTTTCTTCAACCCCCAAGTCAATTATGCTTCACATAAATGAAACAGAATGCTCATGCCCTCTCTTCAGGATAATTGGAGGTCCCTACACTACAATCAAGAAGAGTTGGATTTTCAGCTAGGGAAAAATAATTTGATTAAAAGATCAGGTGGGAGGACATCCTTAAATTAGAGGCATTAACTCCAAATAGAGAATATTCAAATAAAGATATATGTGAAGAGACAAGACAATAGAATTAAAAAATAAAGAATAGCCTCAGGTAATCCCCAAACTATCTTCAGTTGCATATCCCACAAAATTTTACCAACATTGCAAAAAGCTAAGGGAAGTTAGGAGTGTCATCCCTTTTCCTGGTGAAAAATAATATTGGTAAGCAACAAAAGAGCCAAAGGACAGCCTGGATGAGGAAAAAGGGAAAAAGCAGAAGGCTAAGAAAATCTAGAAGTCCGTGTTCTTTATAATTAAGACAGTTCACAGTGGGGCATTCCATCTCTAAAACTGTTTGACTTAGCTTTGAACTTTGATGGACACAGTCATTGATTGATATGAATTTTTCTGTGTGTTCAACAGATTTGTAGGGGTCAAGTTCAAATCTGTAACTTTCAAAGATTCCGTTTTTAAGTCCTGCACCTTTGAGGATGTGACTTCACTCAACACCTACTTCAGGAACTGCACATTTATTGATACTGTTTTTGATAACACAGGTAGGTGTGCTGCTTAGCACTGCCCCTACCTGAGGCCTCTTCAAAGGGCCCGCTGTGATGACCATGTGATAGTGTGGGCAGCGGCTTATACAAGAAGTGGGTATTGAAGAATCAAAGGTTGGCTTGTATCATTTGTCTTTGTCAGATTTAATGCAAATGGAGCTTGCCAAAGTTAAAAAGTTGACAACCACAACGACAAATCCTTTGATAAATACATGTTTTTTTTTTTTGAGATGGAGTTTTGCTCTGGTTGCCCAGGCTAGAGAGCAATGGCATGATCTCGGGTCACCACAACCTCCACTTTCTGGGTTCAAGGGATTCTCCTGCCTCAGCCTCCCAAATAGCTGGGATTACAGTCATGCGCCACTATGCCTGGCTAATTTTTTTTATTTTTAGTAGAGACAGGGCTTCTCCATGTTGGTCAGGCTGATCTCAAACTCCTGACCTCAGGTGATCTACCCGCCTTGGCCTCCCAAAGTGCTGGGATTACAGGTGTGAGCCATAGTGCCCAGCCTTGATGAATACATTTTTAAAGCAAAGAGGTAACCTGTAGTTTATTTGTTTTGATATTCTTGAGTTCAAAATCTGGTGTTTAAGTGCCCCAACTCTATAGCCAACAGAGATAGACAACATGTGGCTATGCTGAATCCATATAATGGGTTTTTTTTAACTCCCCAGTGGGCGGGGGGAAAAGGAAGAGGAACAAGCATTGACTGAATACCCATGAACCGTTTTCTAAGCTATTCCAGGTTATTAGACATTCATTATCTCATTTAGTTTTCTTTTTTTTTTTTTTAGTGTTCTGCACCTTTCTACTTTTTTTTATTGCATTTTAGGTTTTGGGGTACATGTGCAGAACATGCAAGACAGTTGCATAGGTACACACATGGCAGTGTGTTTTGCTTCCTTTCTCCCCTTCACCCATTTGGCATTTCTCCCCAGGCTATCCCTCCCCAGCTCCCCCCACCCACTGGCCCTCCCCTTTCCCCCAAATAGACCCCAGTGATTAGTACTCCCCTCCCTGGGTCCATATGTTCTCATTTTTCATCACCCGCCTAAGAGTGAGAATATGCGGTATTTCATTTTCTGTTCTTGTGTCAGTTTGCTGAGAAGGATGTTCTCCAGATTCATCCATGTCCCTACAAACGACACAAACTCATCATTTCTGATTGCTGCATAATATTCCACGGTGTATATGTGCCACATTTTCCCAATCCAGTCTATCATCAATGGGCATTTGGGTTGATTCCAGGTCTTTGCTATTGTAAACAGTGCTGCAATGAACATTCATGTGCATGTGTCCTTATAGTAGAACGATTTATAATCCTTTGGATATATACCAAGTAATGGGATTGCTGGCTCAAATGGAATTTCTATTTCTAAGGCCTTGAGGAATCCCCACACTGTCTTCCACAATGGTTGAACTAATTTACATTCCCACCAACAGTGTAAAAGTGTTCCTTTTTCTCCACATCCTCTCCAGCATCTGTTGTCTCCAGATTTTTTTAATGATCGCCATTCTAACTGGCGTGAGATGGTATCTCAGTGTGGTTTTGATTTGCATCTTTCTGATGACCAGTGACGATGAGCATTTTTTCATATGATTGTTGGCCTCATATATGTCTTCTTTAGTAAAGTGTCTGTTCATATCCTTTGCCCATTTTTGAATCGGCTTGTTTGTTTTTTTCCTGTAAATCTGTTTGAGTTCTTTGTAAATTCTGAATATCAGCCTTTTGTCAGATGGGTAAACTGCAAAAATTTTTTCCCATTCTGTTGGTTGCCAATTCACTATAGTGACTGTTTCTTTTGCCGTGCAGAAGCTGTGGAGTTTCATTAGGTCCCATTTGTCTATTTTGGCTTTTGTTGCCAATACTTTTGGTGTTTTGTTCATGAAATCCTTGCCTACTCCTATGTCCTGGATGGTTTTGCCTAGATTTCCTTCTAGGGTTTTTATGGTGCCAGGTCTTATGTTTAAGTCTTTAATCCATCTGGAGTTAATTTTAGTGTAAGGTGTCAGGAAGATGTCCAGTTTCTGCTTTCTGCACATGGCTAGCCAGTTTTCCCAACACCATTTGTTAAACAGGGAGTCCTTTCCCCATTGCTTGATTTTGTCAGGTTTATCAAAGATTGTATTGTTGTAGATATGTTGTGTTGCCTCTGATGCCTCTGTTCTGTTTCATTGGTCTATATCTCTGTTTTGGTACCAGTACCATGCTGTTTTGATTACTGTAGCCTTGTAGTATAGTTTGAAATCCGGTAGTGTGATGCCCCCCGCTGTGTTCTTTTTGCTTAGAATTGACTTGGCTATGCAGGCTCTCTTTTGGTTCCATATGAAGTTCATGGTGGTTTTTTCCAGTTCTGTGAAGAAAGTCAATGGTAGCTTGATGGGGATAGCTACCCATCGATTTAATTCTGTAAATTACTTTGGGCAGTATAACCATTTTCACGATATTAATTCTTCCTAACCATAAACATGGAATGTTTCTCCATCTGTCTGTGTCCTCTCTGATTTCATTGAGCAGTGGTTTGTAGTTTTCCCTGAAGAGGTCCCTTACATTCCTTGTGAGTTGTATTCCTAGGTATTTTATTCTTTTTGTAGCAATTGTGAATGGCAGTTCATTCTTGATTTGGCTTTAAGTCTGTTATTGGTGTAGAGGAATGCTTGTGATTTTTGCACATTGATTTTATATCATGAGACTTTGTTGAAGTTGCTTATCAGTTTCAGGAGTTTTTGGGCTGAGGCGATGGGGTTTTCTAAGTATACTATCATGTCGTCTGCAAGTAGAGACAATTTGGCTCCCTCCTTTCCTATTTGAATACCCTTTATTTCTTTTTCTTGCCTGATTGCTCTGGCTAGAACTTCCAGTACTATATTGGTGGTGAGAGAGGGCATCCTTGCCTAGTGCCAGATTTCAAAGGGAATGCTCACGGTTTTTGCCCATTCAGTATGATATTGGCTGTTGGTTTGTCGTAAATAGCTTTTATTACTTTGAGATACGTTCCATCAATACCGAGTTTATTGAGGGTTTTTAGCATAAAGGGCTGTTGAATTTTGTCAAATGCCTTCTCTGCGTCAATTGAGATAATCATGTGGTTTTTGTTTTTGGTTCGGTTTATGTGCTGAATTACATTTATAGACTTGCGTATGTTGAACCAGCCTTGCATCCCTGGGATGAATCCTACTTGATCATGATGGATAAGTTTTTTGATTTGCTGTTGCAATTGGCTTTCCAATATTTTATTGAAGATTTTTGCATCTATGTTCATCATGGATATTGGCCTGAAGTTTTCTTTTCTTGTTGAGTCTCTGCCGGGTTTTGGTATCAGGATGATATTGGTCTCACAAAATGATTTGGGAAGTATTCCCTCTTTTTGGATTATTTGGAATAGTTTCAGAAGGAATGGTACCAGCTCCTCTTTGTGTATCTGGTAGAATTCGGCTGTGAACCCATCTGGACCTGGGCTTTTTTTGTGTCATAGGCTCTTAATTGCTGCCTCGACTTCTGACCTTGTTATTGGTTTATTCATAGTTTCAGCTTCCTCCTGGTTTAGGCTTGGGAGGACGCAGCAGTCCAGGAATTTATCCATTTCTTCCAGGTTTACTAGTTTATGTGCATAGAGTTGTTTGTAATATTCACTGATGATGGTTTGAATTTCTGTGGAATCTGTGGTGATTTCCCCTTTATCATTTTTTATTGCATCTATTTGGTTGTTCTCTCTTTTATTTTTAATCAATCTGGCTAGTGGTCTGTCTATTTTGTTGATCTTTTAAAAAAAACAGCTCTTGGATTTATTGATTTTTTGAAGGGTTTTTGGTGTCTCTATCTCCTTCAGTTCAGCTCTGATCTTAGTTATTTCTTGTCTTCTGCTGGGTTTTGAGTTTTTTCTATCTTGCTCCTCTAGCTCTTTCAATTTTGACGATAGGGTGTCAATTTTGGATCTCTCCATTCTCCTCATATGGGCACTTATTGCTATATGTTTTCCTCTAGAGACTGCTTTAAGTGTGTCCCAGAGATTCTGGCATCTTATGTCTTTGTTCTCATTGGTTTTGAAGAACTTTTTTATTTCTGCCTTCATTTCATTGTTTATCCAGTCAACATTCAAGAGCCAGTTGTTCCATTTCCATGAAGCTGTGCGGTTCTGGGTTGGTTTCTGAATTCTGAGTTCTAACTTGATTGCACTATGGTCTGAGAGACTGTTTGTTATGATTTCAGTTGTTTTGATTTGCTGAGGAGTGCTTTACTTCCAATTATGTGGTCAATTTTAGAATACGTGTGATGTGGTGCTGAGAAGAATGTATATTCTGTGGATTTGGGGTGGAGAGTTCTGTAAATGTCTATCAGGTTTGCTTGTTCCAGGTCTGAGTTCAAGCCCTGGATATCCTTGTTGATTTTCTGTCTGGTTGATCTGTCTAATATTGACAGTGGAGTGTTAAAGTCTCCCACTATTATTGTGTGGGAGTCTAAGTCTCTTTGTAAGTTATTAAGAACTTGCCTTATGTATCTGGGTGCTCCTGTATTGGGTCCATATATGTTTAGGATCATTAGCTCTTCTTGTTGTATCGATCCTTTTACCATTATGTAATGGCCTTCTTTGTCTCTTTTGATCTTTGTTGCTTTAAAGTCTATTTTATCAGAGATGAGAATTGCAACTCCTGCTTTTTTTTGCTGTCCATTTGCTTGGTAAATCTTCCTCCATTGCTTTATTTTGAGCTTTTGTGTATCCTTGCATGTGAGATGGGTTTCCTGGATACAGCACACTGATGGGTTTTGGCTTTTTATCCAATTTGCCAGTCTGTGTCTTTTGATTGATGCATTTAGTCCTTTTACATTTAGGGTTAATATTGTTATATGTGAATTTGATACTGCCATTTTGATGCTAGCTGGCTGTTTTGCCCGTTAGTTGTTATAGATTCTTCATTTTGTTGATGCTCTTTAGCATTTAGTGTGATTTTGGAATGGCTGGTACTGGTTGTTCCTTTCTATGTGCAGTGCCTCTTTCAGGAGCTCTTGTAAAGCAGGCCTGGTGGTGACAAAATCTCTGAGTACTTGCTTGTTCGCAAAGGATTTTATTTTTCCTTCACTTATGAAGCTCTGTTTGACTGGATATGAAATTCTGGGTTGAAAGTTCTTTTCTTTAAGGATGTTGAATATTGGCCCCCACTCTCTTCTGGCTTGTAGTGTTTCTGCTGAGAGATCTGCTGTGAGTCTGATGGGCTTCCCTTTGTGGGTGACCCAACCTTTCTCCCTGGCTGCCCTTAGTATTTTCTCCTTTATTTCAACCCTGTTGAATCTGACGATTATGTGCCTTGGGGTTGCTCTTCTTGCAGAATATCTTTGTGGTGTTCTCTGTATTTCCTGCGTTTGAGTGTTGGCCTGTCTTGCTAGGTGGGGGAAATTTTCCTGGATAATATCCTGAAGAGTAGTTTCCAGCTTGGATTCATTCTCTTCATCACATTCTGCTACACCTATCAAACGTAGGTTAGGTCTCTTTCGCATAGTCCCACATTTCTTGGAGACTTTGTTCATTCCTTTTTGCACTTTTTTCTCTGATCTTGGTTTCTCATTTTATTTCATTGAGTTGGTCTTCGACTTCAGATATTCTTTCTTCTGCTTGGTCAATTCGGCTGTTGAAACTTGTGCATGCTTCGCGAAGTTCTTGTATTATGTTTTTCATCTCCTTTAATTCATTCGTATTCCTCTCTAAGTTATCCATTCTTGTTATCATTTCCTCGAATCTTTTTTCAAAGTTCTTAGTTTCTTTGCATTGATTTAAAACATGTTCTTTTAGCTCACAAAAGTTTCTCATTATCCACCTTCTGAAGTCTAAGTCTGTCATTTCATCACAGTCATTCTCCATCCAGCTTTGTTCTCTTGCTGGTGAGGAGTTTTGGTCCTTTCTAGGAGGCGAGGTGTTCTGGTTTTGGGTGTTTTCCTCCTTTTTGTGCTGGTTTCTTCCCATCTTTGTGGATTTATCCACCTGTCATCTGTGTAGTTGCTGACTTTTCGGTTGGGTCTCTGAGTGGACACCCAGATTGTTGATGATGAAGTATTTCTGTTACTTGGTTTTCCTTCTACCAGTCTAGCCCCTCCACTGTACAACTGCTGAGGTCCACTCCAGGCCCTGCTTGTCTGGGGTGCACCTATAGCAGCTGCAGAACAGTGAGGGATGCTACCAGTTTCTTTTTCTGCTATCTTTGTCCCAGGATGATGCCTGCCAAATGTCAGTCTTTTGGATATAGAGGGGTCAGGGAGCTGCTTGAGGAGACAGTCTGTACTTTATAGGAGCTCAAGTGCTGAGCTGTGAGCTCTGTTGTTCATTCAGGGCTGTTAGGCTGCTACGTTTAATTCTGCTGTAGCTGAACTCATAAAAAAAAATCGCTTTTTTTCTCAGATGCTCTGTCTCGGGGGGTTGGGGCTTTCTTTGTGAGTGTCCGTGTGCTGTCCTGCCCTGCTAGGAGGCAGTCTAGTCACTATTTGCCTGCCGAGGCTCTGCCCTGTGGTGTGAGGTTCGCCCTGTTTCTGCAGGCTCTGCCGTGCTGCTGCGGTCTCCACCCTGCTGCCACAGGCTACGCCCTATGGCGGAGTCTCTCTGTTGTAGCGGGTTGCCTCAGCAACGGCAGGCTGCGTCAGCAATGGGCATGTACCTCAGTAGGGGCTGATTGCCTCGGTAATGGCAGACGCTCCTCCCCCACGGAGCTGCACCATCCTGGGTTCAGCTGTGCCTGCACCTGGAGCGTTTGAATTGCCGTTTTGTTTGTCCCACTGTGCTACCCCAAACGCTGCTTCCCTGGAATCTCCTGGGCTGGCTCACTGTCCAAGTCCTGTTCAGTCTCGAGTTCAGCCCTCTCAAGTCTCAGATTGCTGGTTTAACAGGGCACCCGGGGCAGTGCTCTTTGTGCGGAGTGCTGTGTAGCGCCACTGTGCTACAGCGCCAGCCAAAACCTCTGCCTGGCGTCCCGCGTCTCTTTTATACCTGGGAATTTCCCCGTTCTGTGGGCAACAAAGATCTGTCTGGAAATGCGACCCTGACTCACCCTCTCCATGCATTCACCGAGAGCTTCAATCCTGGGTTGTTCTCACCGCACCATCTTGAGTCACCCCTCCATCTCATTTAGTTTTCAAAGTAGCTGAGGCTTAGGAAAATTAAGTAATTTGTCCACAATTATAAAACTAGGAATAGCAGATGTTTGAACCCAGATTTATCTGTTTTCAAAGCCTGTGCTTTCTGCTTTCCCACTCGCAAACATTGGTCTGTGTGTCCTGTAAAATGAACCCAGCATAAGAGCCCGGCATTGGCAGGAGCATCAGCATTTGCCCTGTTGCCAAACCTGTCTTCTTGGTGCTCAGACAGGAGCCAGCCTTGCCTAGCTCCAAAGGAGAAAGGGGTCGGGTGCCTTTCTGTTTCTTGTTTTTTCAGCAGTGCTATCTACCTGTCTTCTAACCCATTAAACCTCAGAAGACCAACATTTTGTCAGATCTTGATCAGCAAGGAAGATAGTTTTGATTCTCACAACCTTTTAGCAGAAACCACCACCATCTGCAACTCTCTTTGGATGGTTTCAAATTCCAGAAAAGATTAGCAATGAATGCTGGTGATCTTCAGATGAGGCTGACTCTTGTTTCTCAGTAGATTCATGCAATAGTCTTTAAATTATAAATTCAGCCTCAGGAAAGACTTTTTCCTTCTCTGTGTCCTATAGTCTCATAAAATGGCAATGATAAGGCTGACTCTTGCACTTTTTTTTCCTTTAGAGACTGGGTCTTGCTCTGTCTTTCAGGCTGGAGTACAGTGGAGCAATCACAGCTCATTGCAGCCTCAAATAAAAAATTATTATTTCATGTGTGTGTGTGTGTGTAGATGGTGTCTCATTTTGTTGTCCAAGCTAGTCTTGAACTCCTGCCTCAGCATCACAAAGCACTGGGATTACAGGTGTGAGCCACCACACCCAGCCCATGCACATTTTGCAACAAATTGTTTTTATAATTGTAGTATGGACACCATTAGTAGTATAATGATAGTCTTTAGGTAACATGATAATTACAACAAAGTAATATTGTAAAGAAGTAAGCAAGTAATATAATTAGCAATGGCCAACCATGGAAAATCAGAAGATAACTGGACCCCTTAATTCAATTTATTCCTTTATTCAATAAAGGTATCTCATCATTCAGCTACTTTATAATGTGAAGACCCAGACTAGATCTTATGCTTTGGCCAAAAGACAAAAAAAGTCAAACCAGCACAGGCCTGAAAGCCCCCAAGGAATTTACAATACTGTGATTCCTCTCTGAATTCTCAGTCGGCTTTCTTATATTGGTGCATGCCTGGTAAGAGCTTGATGAATTGTCTTTGTTGTCATATCTACAGATTTTGAGCCATATAAATTCATTGACAGTGAATTTAAAAACTGCTCATTTTTTCACAACAAGACCGGATGTCAGATTACCTTTGATGATGACTACAGTGCCTACTGGATTTATTTTGTCAACTTTCTGGGGACATTGGCAGTATTGCCAGGGAACATTGTGTCAGCTCTCCTGATGGACAGAATTGGGCGTTTAACAATGCTAGGTATGTACCCAGTTTCATGTCAAATAAAATCCAGAGGGACCCTGTTTCCCACTGTACTCCCAGCCATTAGGGATTTGCATCCAGTGAAGAGAAATCCCTTAGACCTTATATTAAGACTAAATTATAGTGAAAATTATGTCTAATTACATTTCATTTGAGTGGTTTTCATGAGTTAACAGCTGAAAAACTAATTATGTGTAACTAATGTATATTTTCCCATTTACGTAGCTGAGTAATAGATGATATGCATTTTGTACTTTCTGTGTTCAGAGGCAGTTAGAGCCTTTCATTCAGGTGAATGCACCAGTTCTTCAGCTTTATGGAGCCCATTCTAAGCTTCTGCTTAGAATTCAGCTTTCTTGAGTAATCCCAAGGACCCAAGGGTTCTTGCTTTATGAAGATGACGGGAAATATCCCTGCCTTTTGTCTGCATTGTTGGCAGGTGGCTCTATGGTGCTTTCGGGGATCAGCTGTTTCTTCCTTTGGTTCGGCACCAGTGAATCCATGATGATAGGCATGCTGTGTCTGTACAATGGATTGACCATCTCGGCCTGGAACTCTCTTGATGTGGTCACCGTGGAACTGTACCCCACAGACCGGAGGTATGTTGAAATGAGCTTCTAGTAAGAGGCGCTCCAAGCCCCATGAGACTACTGAAAAATTATCTTAAAATAAGCCAACTGACTGGGCGCAGTGGCTTATGCCTATAATCCCAGCACTTTGGGAAGCTGAGGCAGGTGAATCATCTGAGGTCAGGAGTTCAACACCAGCCTGGTCAACATGGTGAAACCTCTTCTCTACTAAAAATATAAAAATTAGCCAGGTATAGTGGCATGCATCTATAATCCCAGCTACTCGGGAGGCTGAGGCAGGAGAGTCGCTTAAAACCAGGAGGCAGAGGTTGCGGTGAGTGGAGATCATGCCACTGGGCAACAGCATAGGCAACAGAATGAGACTCCATCTCAAAACAAAACAAAAAGCTAAACTCTCACTTCCTCAGGAAGGTAAAAATCCAAAAATGTCTGAATTCACAAAGTTGCAGTTTCCACTCATATATTTTTAAAAGAGAATATAGGGGAATATAGGTGCTAGCAGGAATCAATAGGGCAATGAAGCCAGTGAAGGAACTTAATTGTGTCCTTAACTTAGTTTGTAGGCTAATAATATGAGGAAGCTGTAATGAAGCAGTGAGGATTAGAATTTAATAGCCTATCTTGGCCCACATTCTAAATGGCTAACCAGTCCTTAGAGGGTCATTTCCTTAGATTTGCAGGTGTGTCTACATGAGTGCTGCATTAAGCAACCACAAAGAGGTCTCTAGAACATATTTCCTGACCTTCCTGGCTTGTTGGAGAAAAGCTCAACACATTTCTAGTTATAAAAAACAATTGTGCCGGGCACAGTGGCTCACACCTGTAATTCCAGCACTTTTGGAGGCTGAGGCAGGCAGATCACCTGAGGTCAGGAGTTCAAGACCAGCCTGGCCAACATGGTAAAACCCTGTCTCTACTAAAAATAGAAAAAAATTAGCCAGGTGTGATGGCAGGTATCTGTAATCCCAGCTACTCAGGATGCTTAGGCACAAGAATTGCTTGAACATGGGAGGCGGAGGTTGCAATGAGCCAAGATCGCGCCACTGTACTCTAGCCTGGGTGGCAAGAACAAGACTTGGTTTCAAAACAACAACAATTGATTCCAATGTGGAAACACAGAGACTCTGTGTCTCATATCAGAGAAAGGGCTAGGGCTTTTGTGTAGAGCTTCAGCAGCTTGAATAGCTGACTTAAAGAAGCTCTGCTTTACCATATGACATGAGCTAAGACAAATGACCTTTGCCTTCATGTACAACTCCTATGCTTTGTTGCCATAGAATTCCTTTGTACTAGAGGATGGAGTCAGTATTACCTGGACTTTGAAATTTAGGAGGAAGGTTTTTTCCTAGAACTATGCCAAAACTTTTGGGATATCAATTTTCAACTGATCTTGAGTCCTTCCTCTGGGCTCATTCCCTTTTTATTATTGGCCCCAAAGAGGCTCATTCTCTGTGTGTCCTGACTCTAACTTACAGTTCTTCTTCAACAATGTCTTATTACTGAGCTTGCAGAACCCTATAGGTGCCCCTGCATCCATCTCCCTGCAGAACATCTGACACTCAACTCTGAATGTCTGCTTATCAAATATTCTAGCTCAGACCCTCCGCGTCTCATATATTAAATAGTTAGGCTCTGAAGGGAGCCATACAATCTTTGTATGGTGTCTCCATTCATTCAACAAATGTTAATTCTCTGTCTTTGTGGGCAAGGCCCTGAGGTGGATGCCAGGGTGGGTGCTGCCAAAAGCAAGATTAAGACTCTGCAGCTTTCATTGAGCTTTCCTTCATCAACTTCTAACTTTGCAAACAGGACTTAGATGTGGATTACACTATACATTTAAAATAAGCCCCTCTATTGCTTGAGCCCAGGAGGTAGAGGCTGTAGTGAGCTGTGATTGTGCCACTGCACTCCAGCCGGGGCAACAGAGAGAACCCGTCTCAAAAAATAAATAAAATAACCCCCTCAATGTTAAAGCAAGGTTAGGTCATATCCTTCTTCCTTTTTCTTTTACAGTGTAAGAGTGTGATACCATTTTGGGTAAATCAGCTGCTTATTCCTCTGCCATAAGGAATAGAAGGATGAGCATTCACCTAGGGCAAAAGTCTGGCTTAAAAAAAAAAAACCATCTAGGTGTGGTGGCTCACTCCTGTAATCCCAGCACTTTGGGAGGCTGAGGTGGGCAGATCAACTGACTTTGGGAGTTTGAAACCAGCCTGACCAACAGGGAGAAAGCCCGTCTCTACTAAAAGTACTAGATTAGCCAGGCATGGTGGTAAATGCCTGTAATCCCAGCTACTTGGGAGGCTGAAGCAAGAGAATCACTTAAACCTGGGAGGTGGAGGTTGTGGTGAGCCAAGATCATGCCATTGCACTCCAGCAAGATCGAAACTCTGTCTCAAAAAAAAAACCCTCATAAATTGAAATTGGTCAGGTCCTTCCTATGAGAAGCAAGGACCTATGGTGTTTATATTGTCAGAAAGATTAAATATCAGTTGAAATAACAACAAAAGTTGTGTTTTTTTATTAGTTCAGGTCCTCCATGAAGCAGATTTCAGGATGGGATTAAACGTGCAAAAATGTTATTAGAGGAAATGACTGTGTGAGAGAAGGTGGAGAGGGAGTGAAGTGTGGGAGAACTGCAATGCAAGTCTAAGCATTGAATTTTGGAGGTGTGCAAATATTCAAACCATAGCACACTGTAATTTTCATCAGAGAACGTAAGCACAGCCAACTTCCTGCCCAGTTTCTAGAATCTGTCCTTAGTGATCAGAATGGGGCAATGAATCCAGGCCCCTCTTAAGCCATTGAACAGCCAACTCCTACCAAAATCCTAGTCAAAATTATCTCTTTGGGCAAGATAATTTAAGGTATATTCAAAGTGCTATGAAAGTTACAACACTTGTAAGCCACATTTATCAACCACATTACAGACTTACACCTTTCATATTATGCCTTTGATTTTACTAGGGATTTGTATTCGTTTGTTTTTGCATTGCTATAAAGAAATACCCGAGACTGGGTAATTTATAAGAAAATAAGTTTAATTGTCTCATAGTTCTGCAGACTGTGCAGGAAGCATAGTGGCATCTGCTTCTGGGGAAGTTCCAGGAAGCTTCCAATCATGGCAGAAGGCAAAGGGGGAGCAGGCAGGTCACATGTAGAGAGCAGGAGCAAGGGAGTGCAAGGGGAGGTGCCACACACTTCCAAATGACCAGATCTCACAAGAACTCACTCACTATTGCAAGGACAGTACGAAGGGCATAGTGCTAGACCGTTCCTGAGAAATCCCCCCCCATGATGCAATTATCTCCCACCAGGCCCCACCTCTGACATTGGGGATTACATTTCAACATGAGATTTGGGTGGGGTATATATCCAATCTCTATCAGGATTACAACTGCATTTACTGTGAAAACACTAAGGAGGACATTATTCATTATAGGACACATCTTCTTTTACTCAGAGTCCACCATGAAGACTGAACATCTTGGGGCTGGGTCCTAGGAATCATACAAAAAATAATACAAAAATAATAATCTCATCACCCCCCCTTACTATAGCCATACTAACACTAATAAACATATTTTTATATGTGCCTAACATACTCCATTTCAATAACAATATTCCCCACATCTAATAATACAAAAATTGACAACTCAAATACATAAAGTATTCCTCCATCCATGCTTTGAGAAACTGTTTTGTGTCCTCACTTCATATGATAAAAATTGTGTAATTCTTCACATTTCCTTCTGTGTTGTGCAATCAGAAATCAGAGAACCTGTGCCTCTGCTAAATCTTCATGGTCCAGATATTTGTTTTGCTCTTCCTTGATTTGCCCTCCTGTATGCCCATTTTATTAATTTTTTTGTCTTTTATAAGTTCTCCTACCTAGATCGTTTGATAAAGAGGCAGGAAATTTTGGAATTAAACCTAGATGTACTTATTGAATAGCACTCTTCTCTGCTGAAAAAAATGTAACAACCATTTTTCCATTCTGCAAATGCCATCAACATCCTCCTTTCTTCAAAACCTCAGTATCAAAAATGAGCATAACAATTGTAGTCTTAAAACAGATGCATGGTGACATCCTAGCTTTTTCCCCAAATTAGAGAGAATCTGCACAATGATTGGGACATAATGATTTAAGGGGCACACAAAAGTTGGAAGGGGGACTGAAAATACCATCCCTCTGGACATATGGTTTGTTTTTCTGGAGACCTGCCCAATTCAGAAGCTCTCTAAGATCCCCCCTCACCACCCCCAAAAGAGTGTCTACAAAAGACACTCTTTTTTGGGGGTGGGGAAGGAAAGGATGGGATCTCCCTCTGTTGCCCAGAGGTACAATCTGTCCCCAGAGCTGAAATGCAGTAACTCAATCATAGCTCACTACAGCGTCGAATTCCTGGGTTCAAGTGATCCTCCCCCATCAGCTTCCAAAGTAGTTGGGACTATAGATGTGTACCACCATGCCAGGCTAAATATATATATATATATATAAAGAGATGGGGTCTTACTGTGTTTCCCAGGCTGGTCTCAAACTCCTGGCCTCAAGCTATCCTTCTGCCTCAGCCTCTGGGGTAGCTGGTATTACAGGTGTGAGCCATTGTGCCAGGCTCCGAAAGACACTCTTATCCAAGGGTGCTCTATGCTGGGAACTGGGGATGAAGACCAAATATTCATTCTTCATTGACATCATATATTTAATGCTGGAGATTATTACTAAAGTGTAATTTGTTATTTAGTGGATTTTGCTATGCAAAAGGTGAGAAACTGCACCCCTGGACAGCAAATCAAAAACAAATTTACATTCCCTAAAACCTTAGCTACTAGTTATAAGCATGACCTCAAAACCAGAAGCCATCAGGGAAAAGGTTAAAGAATTCTCTGGGTAAAACAAAATTTAAATTCTATACAGCAAGAAATACCATACGCACATTTAAATGATAAATTGAGGGCAGGAGAGGGTTGAAACAGAAAGGAATTAATAACCTGAATATAACAATTGG